GAATTATTTTAAGTTGAGTCCTATATATAGATTATTAGCTTCTATTTTTTTTCTTCTATTATATAAATTATAATAAGGGTACAGCTTTAAATATCACTGGTCGTTTGCAATTGCTGAACTTTTGTTGAAAATGCGAAAAAGTCAATGATAATGTCATTTATAAATATAAAAATGTAATCATTGTTTTCATTGTTTGAACAATGTGCGTGGAATCTAGTCGGAGTTTCTCTAGGGCTTTTGTGTATCGTCTTGACAAGCCTCCCGTCCCTAAAATATGACATATATACATAAAGAATGACGATTTTATTTTTAAAGATGTATTTACGGTCTGATGTATAAGTTTTAACGTCTGTGTAGCGATTTATATTTAAATATATTCACGAATTTATCACAAACTTAAAAAATATCTGTCATATATCGTTTGAACTTAAAAGTAAGATCCACTGACGGCTTGATTACCAAATGCTTGTTGTTGTCAAGTTTATAGTATGAAATACATTGCATTTCAAGGCAATATACGATATGGGACTTTTCTCGTGAAAGGAATCGATAATGGAATTATTATATTAAAATAGAAAAAAAAACTCTGAAGGATTTTTTTACGAAAAGGTATAGCTTTAACCTCTCTAGTCAGTTATTGAAAAATAGTCGTGAAATAGAAGATTCAATAGAACCAATCATCAAATGTCCACAGTGAGGAATTAACAGTGTCGTGATTCATCGTGTTCTGGAAAAACCCGATCGTAGAAATATCGACGGAATCAATTTATTTCTGAAACAAACATTTGTTGTTGTCGATTTTTAATAAACCTAGTAACAACGACAGCACAACTGACATTAAAATCACTTTTTTTTTGGTTTATCAGATTCCCCTGTACATTAGGTTCGACCTATATTGAATATTATATAGAGACTGACAAAAGACTATACTTTGCCGGTATATATTTGACACATTGATTCCAGTATCCTTTATATAATATCGGGTTTGTTTTTTAATCTCTTTAAGAGATCCCGAAACAGTGTACGATTTATTCATTACTTAGATTATGTGAATGCATGTGTAGAATATTTGAATGAAAGTTTGATTTTTTTTAAAGTCCATGCAACTAAATACAATTTAAACCTTAACGTTCTCCATTCATCAGTGGTCCTTATATTGTAAATAATAATAAATAATAATGATAATGACGAAAGCACAGTTATGTCAAGAAAGCTCATTGAATGTACTATTAATGACCTGGTTGAAAAGTTGTTTTTATTCAACTTTTTGACACATAAACCACATACACATAAGGACTGGTATCATCAACTAAATGTGTTAGAATAAAGGATTTTGCTTTAAAAAGTTAACTAACAAAAATACCGAACTCCAAGGAAAATTCAAAACGGAAAGTCCCTTATCAAATGGCAAAATCCACAGCTCAAACAAGTCATATTCCTGACTTGGTACAGGCATTTTCTTATGTAGAAAATGGTAGTTTATATGTGGTTTTATAGCTAGCTAAACCTTTCACTTGTATGACAGTCGCATAAAATTCCATTATATTGACAATAATTTGTGAACAAAAAAAAGACATAATAGGTAAACATGTAAAAAATAGGGGTACAGCAGTCAACATATAAACTATAGAGCCTTTTTTTTTTTAAAGCAATCTATGTTTGAACAAATTTAATCAATTAAATGGTATGTAAGTTTATTCAACTTGGTGGATTTTTTTCTTACTTTTGTTAAACATTGCTCCTAGTGTGTAGTTAGTTTGTTTTTAAAGTGATAAAGATCATAACACAATGTCGACTGCTGTACCCCAATATTTGACATTTTTACCTATTATATCTGTTTGTTTTGTTCACACATTGTTGTCAATATAATGGAATTGTATGCGACTGTCATACAAGTGAGAGGTTTAGCTAGCTTTAAAACCAGGTTTAATCCACCATTTTCTACATAAGGAAATGTCTGTACCAAGTCAGGAATATGACAGTTGTTTTCCATTCTGTTGATGTGTTTGAGCTTTTGATTTTGTCATTTGATAAGGGATTTTCCGATTTGAAATTTCCTTGGAGTTCGGTACTTTTGTTTTTTTACTTTTTGTTAGTTGGAAAACAGACCTAGATGATGTCGAGAACAGACACACACAGTTATTAGTTGATTACCTGTTTTCGATATTGCAGTCTCTTACCTTACCATACGAAAAAGACTAAGCAACGGTAAAAATAATTACCATTATTCTTATCCAATCAGAAATACATATACGAATTTTTGGAAAGATGATTGCAAAAATACTTACGGTGGTAACTGTCTTTGAATTCTTTGACCAATGCATAGTGAAAGGATTATGGAATGAAATAGCTAAAATATTTTAGTCTTTTTTATATCGAAAAAAAAAGTACATACCGTGAGGTACATTTTTTACAATAAAAACCGTTATTGAAATTTGATCAAGATAATTAAAAAATAACAAATTATTTTCTTTAACAATGTGGGTAATAATTTATCAACAAAACTTCTTAAGCGAATCATTTTCATTTAAACATCTCATTTTTATATAAGTGTAAGATATTTACATTCTCAGAACAATATTTCTTGAAATCCGGTCATTTTAATTTAAATATCAAGTAAACAAGAAAATATAAGGGACAAATGAAGCTTACCCGATCTTCCTTCATTCATACATGTGTAAATGTCTTAGATGGCGAGGCTTTTGCTGTTCATAATTTCTCAGCATAATTATGTATCAGTAAGGATTGTGTATAATGCACAAATATTACTGTCTTATTGACATATTCATTGTTAAATACTTATTAGAATGAAATGTTGGTAGGAACATTATAGCCACCGATATTATGCCGATATATGATGAGGAACGACTTGACGTCTATATAAATAGTTGAAATATATGTACGTACTTTGAGCCTGCCTTGACTGTTTATCACATATATATTAGAGTATTTAGTATTGACATATATTTTAAAGAATAATTAATGTTAAGATCAATTTAACCCAAAAAAATAATGGCTTCTATTTTATAGATCAAGGTTATATATCAAGGTTTAATCGTATCTTTATTTATTATAATTCTTTATGTCACGTAGCTTTTTTATTCACAACGATTCACTAATTGACACATTGAAACATAAGTGATATATCTAAGGATTATAATATTATTTCTTTATACAATTGCGTATGCAGAACGATTGAAATTTCAAAATTCTGCTGTTAGCGTTTTGTGGCGTTGCTGTATAAAATGTATGTAGAACAACAGAACAGCAAGGCGGGGTACTCTATATATAATAAACAAAAACAGGGGACTTATGATCCTTTATGTACATCTTGTGAGTCTACTAATTTAGATTAAAAGCGGTTAGGATGGAGATCTAAAGCCTGGAACCTATTCCTGTGTTTATCCAAAGTCAGGAACCTCATTAGTGTATGTCATATCTAATGTTTTGTACTAGAAAACATTGGTGTAAGTGTCAGATCTCTGATCGTTTCTGTTTAATTAATTCACAATTATTTTATAATCGCGACGATTTTAGATCTTGGCATACAGTTTGTATTATATATAGAAACTCGTCTATTGTTGAAAACTGTATACTTTGCCCTTTAAATGTTTTGCTGGTTTTTTGTGTGTTTTTTGTTGTTGCTATTAGTGTCGCAATGTTGCTGTCTCGTTTATGTATACCCAAGATCAATGAAGCAAATAAGTTTTTATAGTACATTTATTGATACGAAATTGTGTAATATAATAATTGTTCGTAGTATTTCTGAAATTTTGTCATCTTTAATTGTTTCCCAATTATGATAGTATTAATAGGATAACAGGAAGGAAGTTAAAAACCAAATATAGTAGACGTTTGTAAGTCTTTATGTTACAAGTCAAAATCTCCGGCATTTAGGCTTGTTAAACTGTTTTGTCCATTTGGGTACTAGGTGTGAATACTAGGTTTTTATTTTGTTTTTTTCTAAATTCATGCATTTTTATCAGATTCGATATGATTTAGAGCTTAAAAGTTATGGTTTAACCCCATATGTGTAGGATTCGGAGTACGATGGTCTGCGCTGAAGTGCGATGGTCCGTTCGCTGAAGTGTGTTGGTCCGTTCGTAGAAGTGCGATGGTCTATATGACCTTAGTTACAGTTTCATACTAAATGAGAGATTGTCCTCTTTAATTATGCTGCTAAGGTAATTTTTTGAGTACAACAATAACCCCTAAATTAATCCAACCTTCCTTTTATGGTATGGAAACTTGTTGTATAATATCATACAAATCCATACACTTATACTCAAGTTATTGTCCGGAAACCAGAAAAATGTTTGCTTTTGGCATCTTTTTGGCCAAAAATTCTAAAACGGTTAGGGCTATAACCCCCAAAATCCATCCCAACCTTTCTGTTGTGGTATGGAACCCTGTGGTACAATTTCATAGAGATCCAAACACTTATACGCAAGTTATTGTCTCGACGACGACGACGACAACATCGCCATACCATTATACGCCCGCTTGCAGTTGTATAAAAATGATCAAAATTAATACCATATAGTAAGCTATAAAAGGTCCAGGGCTCGTATGCATAAAGCTACTTAAGTTAAGATATCCAATCGTAATACTAATTTTTCGTTGGACATGTAGAAAAATCCGTCCGTTCGGAACAAATCTTAACTTAAGTAGCTTTATGCATACGGGCCCTGGGATGACAAAATGTGAATCAATTCTAAGAGAAAACGAACGGCCTGATTAGTTCTTAAAAAATGACAACAACAACAGGTAAGCTCTGGACTACAGGCTCCTGCATTGCTTGGGAGAGGCACATAAAGACTATGGCCGGTTAAATATGTTTGTGAGCGCTCCACCTTCTAACATTAGATAGTGGTGCATAGCAGTACAATAATAGAACACTTGTTACTTCTTATTGTATTTGAAGCATGTTACTATAATAAAGAGAAAATAACACAGGTTTATTACAAATATGATTAAAATAATCGCGTATTAACACATACCTTCAATATATCAAGTATAATAAGGAAATGTTCCTCTGCAAACCTTTTCATTTATCCCATAGAAAAAAGTGTAAACTTCTAGTTTTCTGAGAATTAAGTTTTTCCGTCCATTATAATGGTTATCCTACATATCACATACGTGTATAATTCTTGAGCACTTTTAATAAACCATAAGTTTGTGTTACTTAAAATAGCACCTAACAAGACATGAATAAGGCAAAATAAACATAGTCTCGTTAACTGAATACTCTTAAAATAATGATTTTTTATTCGTACTTTTGTATCTAATGACAAAAATATTTCATCAGATTTAAAAATAATTCCCGGGAAAATTTCTAGAAAATCTGATGAGTCATATATTGAATCGATCTCAATAAAATGATGTGGTTGTAAAATTCAGTGAAAGCAAATTATTATGCATTTACAGGTTTTATAAGGTAAGAATATAACTAGACATTCTTAATTAAGCAGGTTTATTATGTTTATTATTTTATTTAGTCTATTAAAACAATTTCATGAAATTGCTTATCAACATTTCAATTTATAAAATATCAAATTATGCAATATTGTTAATATTAATACTTTGCAGTAATGAAACATGTTTAACTGGTCGCAAATAGCAAGTTCTATATGTATGTACAACAGAAATTTCTGTGACTGAAGTCTGTGAAGTGAGTAGTGAATCCCACTTTATCTTCTACAGCTAAATTAAATCTACAGTAGTTTATCGATGTTCAAATCGATTAGGAAGATACAATCGATTAGGAAGATACAAATCAAGGTAAACAAAAACTGAAGGAATCGCATGAACTCCAAAGGAATCGTAACCGAGTGCGTCGACAGGGGTTGTAATTCTTACTTTTTCTGTTCTATTCGTGTGTGAGGGTAAAGATAATTTATCGCCCAGTTCATTTATAGATTGCAGTTTATGTCAACTAAACTTACACTATGTATTTGGTTTTCATTTTGATTTAGAAGAAATACCGACATAGCTAGATAATACAATTAATTATCTAATTACTAACACAATTTTATATTAATAAGTATTGTTATTTTCATTAAATACATGTAATATCAGTATTACAAACCTAATCTTGAATTCTATCCTATTTTTTGGAATTGTTTAGAAATTTATCTGTGACGTCACTTTTGTGCGTCGATCAATTCGGCTAGCATACAATGCGTTGTTCGTTTCTGTGTGTGTTGCATTTTAGTGTTTCTGTTGTGTCGTTTTTCTCCTCTTATAGTTGATGTGTTTCCCTCAGTTTTAGTTTGTAACCCGGATTTGTTTTTTCTCAATCGATTTATGAATTTCGAACAGCGGTATACCACTGCTGCCTTTATTTAGTGTCTAATGCATTTCTTGCATCACCCGACATGCGATTAACACTCAGTCAATATTTCACAATAGGGAATAGAACACAATCGGTAAAATTACAGATCAGACGACTATACTGATAAAACATGTCGCTAGTGAGGTGCGACACCGACATATCGTATCGGTCAACCAAATCGCAAAACTTGTGTAGTGACGATTTCAGTCGTTCTAATACTCATTATTCCGTTGGAGTAGTTTTTGTGTAAGCAGCACACCCGTGTGAATGAAGTACGTATAAAACCTTCCACATAAGGTTTTAAACATGTCATTTTACAAAGTTTCCTTTCCTTATTTTTTGAATGGCGACAACATTTCCTAAAACTGATTATAACTGGGTTATAGATTTTAATAGAAGGCCGAGTTTATGTTTTATTTATTATTTACGATCAAATACTGTTGGTTGCGTTCAATTAATTCCTCAATTCACTATTTATAAAATTGTCATGCATATTCATTAGGCTCTACTTACGAGTGCGGCAGCTTAACACAATCCAGTTTTACCTTATCTGATATACATTTATATGAAATACAATTGATGGAAATTAAGCATATAATCAATGTATCAATCACATACATGTAGCATCCTTTATCTGTCACCATCTTGTATACAGTAACTATATGATATTTATTTAACGATTGATTGATTGATTGGTTGTTGCTTACTTTACGTCCAGTGGCAAATATTTTCTGCATATTCGATATTTATTTAACGACCAGTGGCCGATATGGATCAGAGATGTTTGTACATGTAGATGTATGTGGATATCATATTATTCAATTCAATCAGACTGGTAAAAACATTAAGGAAAAATCAACAGGAACAGTTTACATTTAACAAATAAGTCACGCTTATTAAGAACGAAATTTTACAATGCTATTCTGACTTTTCAAGGGTTATTTAATCTTCTTGGAGAAAGGTTCTTTCTAGAAATAGTGCTTTGGATTTAAACATGATGATGAATTGTAGTAAAACTTCCAATTTATGTGTCTAGAAGGTGGTACAGTATCATGGCAACCTACATTTACATAGATAAGATTTTCTTCATATTTGTGTAGCTGAGGCTTCAAGTTGCTGAAAGATATTCTTCACTGGCACTAATTAAGAAATTATTTTATTTTCACCTTTTGTTCCTTATCCAGCTTAAGTGCCGACCATGTCCAATTGATTATGACTAAAATTACAATATATAAAGTAATCAGGAATAGATTCATCTTCCATTCTTCTGAAATATAATTGTTAATGATAAGCACTAGAAGATATTTCGTAAGTTCAGGTTTCCATTTAAGATGTGTTCATATTTCATATCAAACATTAAAAAAAACAAGTCTCATTTCAGTCATCCTTTGTTTTTATTGTTTTATATCTAATCAAAGGTAGAAAACACTCCGGTGAGCCTGAATATGTCAATTTCCTGTTGACGTAAAACCTCACGTACCGGTTAAATGAGGATTCAGTTCTAGTAACCAATATCGGACACTCAACAAATGTCAGAAAATCGTACCGGTGAAATGTGCTTCAGTATCATCATGATGCATTAAACTAGGCCAAGGAATTAAACTTCGGATAAAATCCTTTTTGCACTGATGCTTGTATCAAATATTCATTTAATATTATGTGAAGTCACGCATTATTATATTGATCTAGGTATATATATATGGCAGTATCAGGTGGTCCATTATCCGCCAGTCTTTTTTTCATTAAAAAAACGTATTCACGCGCTCTTCTTGTGTTCAGGATATTTTTAGTTACGATTATAGTTGTAATTTGATACTAGTATTACAAAACCTACGGGAAAAAAAAACGTTTCTGCTGAGTTGTCATTTGTAACCCCCTTTACGGAAATTTTTTTTAAACAGTATATAAACTTAGAAATATATAATATCTTTGTGTGCTCTTAAAATCAAACGTTTGTACCTGTCCCAAGCATGGCCTTTGTAATCCAGTGGCTGTCATTGGGCGATGGTTGCTGTATATATTTTTCGTTCGTTATTATAATAAAAATTAGGCTGTTTGTTTTCTGTTTCCACATTTTGTCATACCGGCGTATTTTATAGCTTACTATACGAAGTGGGTTCTGCTTATTGTTTGAAGCCGTACGGTGATCTGTAATTGTTCTTGGTCTTTTCGGATAGCTGTTTCATTGGTAATCCTACCAAATCTCATTATTGTCCCCCCGCGCGTCGCACTGCGGGGAATATGGTAATGGTCTCTAGAAACTCATTTATATTCAGAGACCGTTTGACGTAAAGCTTTCATACTTGGTAGGATTATTTATCTTCATATTCTCTTGACAGTGCTTTATTGTCAGTTTGATTTGATAACTTTTACAGGAAGCTATCATACATGGCAATATAGTTTGCCATTATGTGAAGTTGACCATATTATACTGTCATTTTGGTGTGACCATTTTATTGGATTAATAGGACTTATACTATATTTTGACTATAGTACCGCAATGACACACAATTTACTTCCTCGGTTACACAGCGCGGGGGACATTTTGCTACGGCGTAGCAATATTGTTTTTACACTTATACTCTCCAATGATACAATGGTACATGCTTTACTTCTGAAATAAAATCAGCAAACAAATGTTAAACAATGTAAGAGATATATTACTTTTGGAAAATGGTAGCATAACATGGTGTATTTTAAGAAAACAGAAATACTTTGGAACGAATACCAACTATTTTGATATAAATTTATTGATATTCAATTAACTATTTCAGTATTACTTTTGTTGTTGAATTGACATACACAATAAAGTACATCTACAGCTATTGATTTGTGTTAGAAAAATTAAATTAAATTGAAATGGGGAATATTGCATGAGGATATTGACATTTTACGTAAATACTAGTAACAAAGTATTGTGAAATAAAATTTCTGTAACGTACATGCAGCTTCTAATGAGGTTCACCTAGGTGCGTTTATGTAACTTTAGAAAGAAAGTAGATATTTACATTGGAAATATGTCAAATAATCAATACCCGCACGAACTATACGTCAGAATTATGTGGTTACTTTATAAAATTAAGAATTATCTGAAAATAGCAATTTTCTAATTAAATCCGATCATGTCATTTTCCCTCTCATTGTTTTTTCAGTGTGTTTGTAATAAGTTTATCAAAATAATAACAATACAACAGATTGTTTTCTTTCCTTCGACGATGTTTGCTTTGATTTAGTCAGGAAATAACATATTAAATAGTTTTTTGCAAATACAGCTGTGCGCATATATGGATCTTTTACATTGATGTTTTATTTCAAGTTTGAAGGAAAACTGATTGAAAACATTTGGTTAAAGGAGGTGTACATGACATTCTGAGTTTAAATGCAAGTGTACATGTTTATACATTATTACAGCGGATGACCGTGAGGTCATTCCGGTGTATTGCTATCGCCTAAATTTCCATTATGTAAATTAGTTTTGGGTTTTTAACCGATCTATAAACATGATAAATACGCCGACATCATCGAGTGCAAAATAACATTCCTTATCGCTTGCTATATATTCATTTCTTCAATGAATACTCATCAAATATTTTTTTTAGAACATAATTTAATAATATTAAAATGTTTTATATAGATATAAGAAGATGTGGTATGAGTGCAATTGAGACAACTCTCCATCCAAGTCAAAATTTATAAAAGTAAACCATTATAGGTCACAGTACGGTCTTCACCGAACACCGAACAGTAAGCTAGAAAGGGCCCAAAAAATTACTATTGTAAAACCATTCAAACGGGAAAACCAACGGTCTAATCTATATAAAAAACGAGAAACACTTATGAACCACATCAACAAACGACAACTACTGAACATCAGATTCCTGACTTAGGACAGGTGCAAACAAATGCAGCGGGTTTAAACGTTTTAATGGTACCAAACCTTCAC